TGAGTTAGGAAAGGTTTGATACTTTGAGAAGATACAAGGTTGAAGAGCTCTAAAGAGTGAAAAGAATGGGTTTGATTTGTCGAATATGATAAGAATGTTTATATTGTATCCTGACAGCACTTGTTGTCGGTGCTTATCTTCTACGCCATCGTCTCATCATCAAATCTTGCAACAAAAGCATATAAAACAAAATCTCTGTTTCGTGTATATCTTACGAATGGCAGACTTTACCAAGTTGCGTGGCAAACATTTAAGCTACATGATTCACTAGGCATTCATAAAGTACCGATATGTGTGAAATTCAAAATTTTGGTGTGCTCTTTTTTCGTGAATTTGTTTAGATGTAATTTTGACACTGTTTAAATCAAAGTAATCAGAATTGGATCATAATCAATTCTCACTTCTTGCTTATTTATATTTGGAGATACATGATAAATAATAAACAAAGAAAAAACAAAGCAACAGATTCTACCCGCAAGTTCATGCACACAATTTTTGCGTTGATAACTTGAGAGAATGATATCATTTTTATTTATTATATAATGTTATAAAATATATTTTCTTATAATTCTATTTTTATTCTTATATCATATTTATTAATTTTGTAATATGTCATACATCAAGCAGCAGATAATAATGTAATGAAATTAGTTTAATACAAATTTTAATGAAGAACAATAATAATAATTAAAAATACTAAAGTATGCAACAATTTTTTTTTTCAAAATTTGCAAGAATATATGAATAACAACAACAAATAATAATAATAAAAAAATTAATATTTTTAACGTTTGGAAATCTTTTTGATATGAGAAATAAAAATCCAAACACAAATAAGTGTGTATAACAACAACGTAATATAATGTTTTCAAATATGAAGAAGAATAAAAGAAGAATTCAAAAGTAGAATTTGTCCGAGACTCATACCTTTTGCCTTTGTTCATATACGAATTGGAGGAGAGTGAATTAATGAATTTGAGGGAATCTGAAGGTGAATTAATTGTTGTTTATTAGAGTGAATTTGGAGGTAAATGAGAATAAATTTGAAAGTAAAATTGATGAGAATTAGTGTAATATTTGATTGATTTGACAGATAAAAAAAATTCTTTAATTGATATAAATTGAAGATGATAATTGTTCATGTTATATTTGATTGTAAAAAAGTTTATAAAATGATAATTGTTCCCTTGAACATAGAGTAATCTTAGATATTAAATTAAGGTTGATGCTCTCTCCACCACCCCATCTTCTCACTAGTACACAAACAGGAAATGGCACCGGTTGCTTTGGATTATAGGCACCGGTTCTATAACCGAGGCATATAAAGACGAGGTAAAAAGGGGTACGTTTTATGCCTCGGTTTTAAACCGATTCAAGAAAAATGGGATTATGCCTCGGTTTTTAAGGTAACCGAGGCAGTAACGTAATTTTTTTTCAACCATCCAGATTCACATGGAACGATCTTGCGGTGGTGAACAATTCCATATCCTCCTTCGCCGATAACATTCTCAGGGGCGAAGGTGTTGGTGGAATCCTCAAGCTCTCGGAGAGTGTACAGTGGCCCCAGCCCAAGTGTGAAACTTTGGGAATGACGGTGGGAACCTGATCGAGGAGGCGAGGCTCAACACCGGCGGGATCGTTGGAAGATGAGCGAAGCAAGGCACGTTCGGGGTAGGAGATTCGGTGGTTCTTCCCAATCTCGAACTGGATTCTCTGGTAGTTGAGAGGGTTGGTTTCTTCCTCGGTGGGCGAAACTGGGTCAGGTTCGGGAAAAGGGTCGGGTTGGGGGGTGGGGGCGTGGTCGACCCTAATTTCTTGGATCTCCTTGGAGACGTCGGGGATGGAAACGGGGTTGGCTTTGGAGCGCTTGAAGGCCACCCAGACGGAGATAAGGAAGAGGATGAGGAGCCGGAAGCCCTAAATAAGAATCGCACCTCCGATTGGAAATCAGAGGACCATGACAACGGCGTAAAAGAGATTGGAAACCGGAAGCCCTAAATCAGAATCGTGCCTCCACCTGCAACCACAATCAGACCTGCAGAAACCAGATTTAACACCATAATCAATCAACCCTAATCGCAATTGAGAAATCGCAACTCCAGAAGCAGCGAAATCAATCAACCCTAATCGCACAGCCATGGCAACTCTCGCGACGGCGGCGACATGCTTTAGGGATTTTGGTGACGGTGGCGCGATTTCGGTGATGGTGATGGAAGAAGGTTGAAACGCGGTGGTGGCTGCGTGTTGGAGAAGATGAATGGTGGAGAAGATGAATGGCGTCCATGGAGAACGAAGGCGCTGTGGTAGCGGCTTTGGGTGGCGGCTTGCGGGTTTGCACGTTGTGGCTGACGGTGTGGTTGAACGACGGCAACCCCAATGGTCGGTGATGGTGACGGCCTGATGTGGGGTTTGGTGGAGAGGAAAACTCGTGAGCGGAGGGAGGCAGAGTGGAGGGAGGCAGAGTGGAGGGAGGCAGAGTTCGCGAGCGTGCGAGAGAAAGGGTTTTGTTTTTTAATTTTAACTCAAGTTTACTACCCCGGTTTCTCTTATAACCGGTGCCTAAACCATTTAACTGCACCGGTTAAACATTTAACCGGTGTCTAAATCTTTTAAAATGTATATTATATGCCTCGGTTGGACTTTTACTCGAGACAGTAACGTATATAGGCATCGGTTCAAATATAACCGAAGAATATAACAAATCAATATTTACAGAAATGCCACCGCGCTTTTATACGCTTCGGTTTCAGTAGAACCGAGGCGTATATCCTCCCCAATTTTTTTAAAATTTTAAATTTTTACTTTTTACTTTTACCAATTTTACTTTTTACTTTTTATTTTTTTAAATCCTAATCTCAATCTCCTCTCACTTTCACTTTCCCTTTCATTCTCAGCAGCAAGCCCCCACCCCCCTCCCCACTGTTACTTTCTTTCTTTCTCTTAATTTTCACTTTCACTAACATAAAATTTGACAGAAGAAACAAATTCTGCATGATATAAATTTAAAACATTTATAACTTCTGATGTGTTTTGAAGTATCATGATTCCATAATATAATCTGCTAAAATTTTTTTCCGCACTTCCTTGTCTTTAAATAACCAAACTTGAAAATCTATGCTTAAACTTGAAACTCTGAACCACCAGGAGATAACCCTTAAAGTTGTAAACCAAACTGTTTAGGCCGCAGAAGCTGAATTTCTCTACGATGATCACTGGGTGTTCGGTGAATCTCACGAAATTTGAAAGGAAATAGAAAATGTTGTGTTAATGAAAGTGAAAATTAAGAGAAAGAGTCGCATTGGGAGGGAGTGGGGGCTTGCTGCTGAGAGTGAAAAGAAAAGTGAAAGTGAGAGAGAATTGAGATTATGATTTTAAAAAATAAAAAGTAAAAGTAAAAAAATAAAAAGAATAAATTTGAAATTTAAAAAGAATTGAGGAAGTGTAAAAAGAAGATGGAGTGGTGGAGGAAGCATCACTCTTAAATTAATGATCCCAACGAAAATGAAAAAGCCTGTATAGTAAACTATATAGTTGTCAAAATTAAACGAAGTGAGAATCATCATTTTAAAGTAACTGTATATAGTATAATTCTATGCATAAATTTTCTCCCTCATTTTCTCTCTCAAGGTTGCATTTTGCACTATGGACAAACTTGTATGCACCTTCTTAATCTAAAAGACCTCTTTACTTATACTAAAGATAATTTTTTGTTTTACTAAATTGGACCTTTTAAACACATAGTTTGAGTAAAAAATATTTGACTACGTTGGACTTTTTAAACACAGTTCTAAGTCCAATCTATATGGAAGTGACCGTCAAACTAACTTGAGCTTTAAACTTCTTCATTAGTAATCTCTTAATCATCATATCAACACTTAGATTCTTATTGAGATGAATAATATTTTGACTATCCACAAACATGTTCTGAACAAAACCGAATTTTTATATGAATATTTTCCACCATAACAACTCCTAGAATATATGATGACAATGAAGACACCCCTACAATTTTGAATTTCAAGCCTAAGCCCCCTTACAAACTTATCCAAATAGCACAAAGTAGACCCAAACTATATATCAGAGTCTGAATAACCCATTAAAGTAGGTTTATTTCCCTAATACCATGAAAATACTTTAAAATCTGTTTCTGTTTCACATTTGAAAGAAATTTCACTATACCAATAACATATACAACAACACTTAAAATAAATTTCATGAAACACTCTCTTGATTTTTCAACTAGAATCTCAGCAACACCTTCAGCCAAACATTATTTTCTTATTATTGTGAGATAAATAATGCCAAAAGTTTTTTTAACAACTCCCAAGTCTGAGAAAAAGCTCATCAAATATCTTCTTTAATAATAATAATAATAATAATAATAATAATAATAATATATCTTCTCTCTGTCTCCCTTTGATACTTCTCACATTTCATACATTTTCTTTACCTACCCACAACCTATGGACATAAAAAACAATGATTGATTTTATTTTATAATATGGGGAATATTCACTAGTCAACAAAAATTGTTCATTTATAATTTCTATAATTAATAGATATTAAGTTATACTCTAATTCTACGATCTATAATAACTCAAATATATATATATATATATATATATATATATATATATATATATATATATATATATATATATTTTACTATAATAAGATTGTTTATATATTTTATACGGATGATAATATTGCCAAAATATTATTTTTCTAATTTATTTAATGATGTCAAATTTCTTGTTCATTGTCTGCTTCATTTTCTTTTAAATTTATATATAATTATAGTCACTTAAGTGTAAAGTTATTTTTCTAATTAATTCGTAATAAACATCCAAGCAAAATTAATGATATTATAAATCTAAATTTTGTTTCATAAACACATAATAAATTATTTAAGTGGTGATTATATTATTTGTCATTTAAACACTATATTGGGAGATGGCATGCCATGGTTGATCCCAAGGTCTATTTGTATGATTGTCTTAAGTTTGAAAAGATACTTTCATAGCAAATGATTTTCAGAAGTCCTCGCCACGAAGGGCCCTCAGAACCCTCGAATGAGGTGCATCAGGGTCACCACGCATGGCCCGTTGCCGCCACATCTCCGCGGCCCTCAGCAGCGTCTCCTCCGCGGACTCCATCTGCTCCGGCAGCCACCCAATCACATCCCTTCCTCTTCCAGAATCTACGGTCTTATCAGAGGCTCGAGATATCGGCTTCCGTGAATCCACGAACTCTATCTCCGATAAGGGCGATGCTTTATGGTGTTTATAGTAATCTTTATCGTCCTCTTTCCCTTTGTTTTCATCCTCCGGCCACGGACTTCCATCAAGGCCAGCACAACTCACCTCTTCTAAACCTTTCCACGTATGCTCCCGTTTTTGCTGAATGATTGGGTCCAATCGCTGGTTCACCCCCGCGCTCTTCAGTTTCGGGGAAGGTTCACACGGAGATTTTGGAGACTTCAACATCTCGTGTGTTTTGCCTGCTCTGCGTTCTGTTTCAGCAATCTCGGCATTCTTAGCATTATCATTTGTACTTATACCCTGCAACACTCACAGACCAAAAGTTAATATATCCGTTTCAAACATCGTCCACTCGAAGATTCGAAAGCCTATAGAGTGATGATGAACGTCAACACTTACTTGGGGTTGTCCCCTGTGAACTCTGGGACCAGCTTCTTGTTCCCCTGAATGAATTTCAGGGTCTGCAGTCCGACTTCGAGTGCCGGAGCAAAATCCACGTTTTAGACTAAAACGAGTGGTCGAAGATAATGCACAAGAAGCTCTTCTTGTTGCTTCTGACAATCTTGACTGCATCTTAACGTTGTTGCTTTGTTTTTATGCCTTGTCTTTGTTTTTGGACTTATGATGTTTGGAACACCACGAGATCAACTTCAGATTTAATGGGATTGGCATACATCATAGGGTGAGCGAGAAAGAGAAAAAGAATGTGAGGGACGTTCTGGAAATTCTACGACACGTGTTTTAGTTTGACGTGTCAATGTTATCTGTTGCCACGTGTAATGTGTGTATTGGAAAGAAAATTAGGAGCTACTCTAGAAGGAAGCATACTTTTCTGGAATGCTCCATTTTTTGTCGGTAAATAAGCATATAATCAGTAAATTATCACTACTAAGAAAACGGTATCCTATGTTGATTGTACAAAAAGGTTGAAAACTGATGTTGAAGGGACTAATTTCTGTACGATGTAGTTGTTTATTGGGCTATGTAACAATTTTGTGCGAGCCCAAACCTGTTTATTGGAAATGGATTTTGTGTTTAAATCAGCCCATTAGAAATAAACAACACACATACCAAATAAAAAAAGTTCAAAATTTGCTTAGTTCTGTGTTGCTCTACAGTTCTTATAGAGCTATATTATGAGGAGAAAAAAAATGCCAGTGTCACCAAGAAGATTTAACTGTTACTTTTTTTTTTTCTTATTTGATGATATCACGGTTTTAACGAACTGATCATTTTTGAGAAAACAAAACCTTAATTCTTATTACATAATTTCTTAGTGTTTTAACCAATTTTTTTCATAATCTTACTATTATTTATACTGTTTATTTATTTGTTATATGAACGAGATACATAACTATTTTTAATGGGTATATTTTCTTATTATTTGTATTCTTATTACATTTTATAAATTTTTAATTAAAACTACTTGTTGTTCATTGCTATTTTTATAACGTTTTAATAATTTTTTTGATGTCATATATTTTTATATTTAAAGCAAGCAGATAAAGAAATAGCAATACAGATTTATTCACTATATAATGAGTGTACTCATAGTCAAAGTCAAATATAACAGTGCTCTATGCACAGAAAGATAACTTGTATTAGTAAAATCGAAAAAAGATTGACATTGATACTGTGTTATTGCTATTCAAAGCAAAGATAGAGTGATGGATATGAATCCGAGCGAATATATGTGATTGTAGGAGGCTTTTGCTCTCTTTGCTAATGGAGAAAGATGACAAATGATCCACGAAAGATCTCTCTTGTTGGTTTGCTCCATTGCTCCATTAATGTTGTAGGAGGCTTTTGCTCCATTGCTAGAAATGTCATGGTTTGCTCCATTCCCGCTAAAATGTGAACCCGTTGAACAAAAACAAAAAGAGTTTCCCTTCTGTTAAGCATCCAATTTAAACAAGTTTATTATTTATTTAATATCTTCTAAAAGGTATCAACTTCACTCTAACACCTATTCTGAGTTCTAATCATTCTTCTCTTAACAGAACATTTTATCGCTTAACTCAAGCATCCAAATTTCTTTCCAAGAACTACCCAACTGTTGTTCATGACAATTTGAGAAATACCCATCGTCATCGTCAATGATACCAGCCAAATGTGGCTAAGAACATAAAATATATTTACAAAAACTAAATTTTGAATAAAGATTTATGAATTTTCGTAAATAGAATTGTTAAATGTTTCATTTAAAATAAAATTATCAAATTCATGGGTATAACTTGTATTTGTGTTTGCTTTAGAGTTAAAAGCGTCATTATCATTTTACTTTCAAAAGACGTACAAAAATTAAGCGAAGGAAATATATTTAAATCGTCATTGTTTTCCGCTCTTAAACAATATTTAACTATTAAACCCAGAGGCTAAAGTTGAATCCAGAGAGAGAAGGGGCATATGTTTCTTACGTTACACGATACAAATCACATGAATTGCGGGTGTTGGGTTTGGCTCCAACAGGAACAACAGCCAGGAACACAGTTCCAACTGTAAAGGATAAACCGCTGCCAATCTAATCTCTTGTCTTGAACTTGTGAACCTCTGAGAAAGACGAGGTGCAAAGACCAAATAAACATTTCTAAAACCCATCCATAGTAATTATTATACTATGGTTCAAAGACGCTGGACCATGCCACTAGTTCAGTATCGTGATTCTTGGAGTTCGAGATCAGATGCAACCTTCTTGTTTATTAATCACTAATCACTGCGTATCACTATGTAACATCTTTCGATATAATAAACAGTCTTAAACCCTACCTGGAGAACAAATATATTGTTTGGTCACGTGGAATTATTTAACTAATTAAATCCTGACCTTGGAATATATGAATGATCTGCTATCATCTCGGGACAAAAATGTGGCCACCTCTGTGTCCAACAATGCAACTAGATGGAAGTATAAAAGCAGCCAATGGCATGCATAGTTGACCTTAGATTTCAAATCTTATCTATGTATTAAAAGGTCTTCCTGCTTCATCATTTGTGTCCATGGAGCCCTTTTCTTCCCTCCTTCCAACTGAAAAGGAGAATAGGCCTGTGGGCCATGTGCCGGGATTTTGCAATCTTCATCATCCATGTGCTCCATAAAATAATTCCATTTTGTGTTTCATCCCAACATCACGCAACAGTACTGTTTTGGACTCTTCCAGGAATAACGAACCCTGCCAAAAATTGTTTACACTGACTTTACTTTATTGTTCATTCTTTTCCGTTGATGTCATCTGCCTAATTAAGTTCATTAGCTGCCACATGTTTACAAATGCAAATGTAAATCAGATTTTCAGGGAGAACAGTTGCTTGCCTTCAAATTAGTTTAATTGATTATGGTATATTAGATATAAATGGTTGAAGAAATTAACCCCGACAGATTCTTTCGCGTAACATTATGAAATAGCATGTTACTACGTTCGCATAATCATTACAAGATACCAAAACACCATAATGCCCTCGAAGAGTTAGAGACGGTACAAAAGTAAAAAATAATGATAATGAAAAGAAATTTGAATTTGTGGGGATGTCTGGGTTTAAGCTAGCTAAGTTATTTTATATATATGTTACAGGTTTATAGTTTATATTAACGTAAATCTGTATACATTTTGTTGAGTTTAATTACGGATGTATATTGTTGTTATTCGTTTTTTTTTGTGTCGTTTTCAAACAACATTAGGTTGAGGTGAATTATTATTAAATAATGACTTAAAGATAATATTGGCCACGGTTATAATTATAAATTGACGTTGAAAAAGATTGAGTATAGATTATTAATTGTGAACAAATGAAGGCAGAAAAAGATCTCGTCAGACTTAAATGCATACATTATTGGGTTTGGGTTGAGTCTTTCATGGAGAACACAAGCCGTGAGTAATTCACAACGAAGATTTTGTGAAAATTGTCGAAAATTAAAACGCAAAAGAGAAAGACTGAAGTGAAAAAACAAATGTAGTGGGCCATTTGCTGTACTTGGTGCTGCACTATGTATTTTCATAGCACAGTGATACCACAATCCAAGGAAAACTCTTTTGTGAAGACACAAGAGAATACAAGGTTTATATACTAGAGTATGGAAGTCTGAATACAGTGTTTTATGACGAATATACGAGAGAGTTGAATTATAATATAAGATACATAGATATAAAGAAAATACAATTAAGTTAATATTTTTTGTTTATATCAGAAAAATAACCATAACTGTAGTGCATGCATTTCGTTTGTAATTCAAAGAAAAAGAGAAAAAAAAAGTATAGATTAGAAAGCTAGGTATGGATGAGTAATTCACCATGGTTTGGTGTATCTAATCTAAGAGAATCCAAAACATAAGATTTGACAGCATTACAGAGTGGTGGGGGACTGAAGGAAGTAGCTGGCTGGGTTCTTGAAATGCATCTGAATTCTGAAATTCTCTTGCTAAAGTAGGCAAGTACACATAAGAAACAGAAACTGCACATGGACTTATACGAACGCTGTCTTGTGAAATGATTCAAGTTAAGGGGTGATGAGAATGGGGCCCTTTTCTTTCATAAATAATTTTGGGTATTTGGTTGTTTGAAAAGGTGCTGCAAAAGTGCAAAACTAAGTGAAGAAGTAGATGGTTGAATCGTTTCTCACACAACTTGTTAAGATTCTTCACAAAGCAAGGTCAATCGAAGCAGGGTTATGGGAGACACTGTGATCAAGCGATCAAACCCAATTGAGGACTCAAGAATGCGATCAAAGAACACGCGCGTTCTAGTGGCCTACATCAATCTCGTCTTCTTTTGGATATACAACAGTAAGACTCAAACACGTGTCGAGCTCTCCACACACTACCAATGAACCAAGTACGATAAATCCTACTTTATTTCCTATTTACTACTGTAAGTAAATATTAATGATTACAGCTGAAACTTAAAATTAATATTTTAAAACAGTAAAACTTATTTAAGAAGTTAATCTCCTTGACTTGAATTTTAGAAACAAATTCTAAATTTTTCCTGAACAATGTTACTATTTGTTAATTCTATATTGTTATCTTAAGGCATCTAAGAAAATTATTAAATAATAACTAAATTTATAGGGCTAAATAATTATTCATAGTGATTAAATTATAGACTATTTTACAATTTTTTAATATTTAAAATAGTATTTATTATTAAAATATTTATAGATAATTTGTAAATTAAAGTTTAAATTAATCTTTAAATTTAGTTATTTATTATTATCAACTAATTATTTTTTATTTCTAAAATTGAATATTGTTTAATAATTTTTTTGTATAGATATTTAAATTAAAGTGTAAACTTAAACAATGGTTCATCACTCCACTTCCAACGTGAAAGAGAACTATGAGAACACTGATTTTGTTTTTGAAATTTTAATAAGCATAACGTTTGGACATCTTATTACATATGTCAATTTAATGTTTATTGGTCTTATGATTGATGTTAAATTATAAATTAACATCTATTAGTCCTTCGATGTTAAATTACAAATCTAAAATCTATTGTGAATAAGTCCGTCAATTTAGACAAAATAGTTTTAAAAATATCATTGTGCATTTTTAACGTAAAAGACAAAGTGACATATATAATACTTTATTTTTTAAAAAACAAGGCAAATGAATATTATATTTTGAATGTAATAATCGATATAAATAAATTTTAAAATAAAAAAATTATATATCATTTCGTTCATTTCACATATACGTATTTGTTTTAAAAAATTGTATAATTATAAATAATTTGCAGAATATGTTAAATTACAAAATCTAACATATCTACAAATTGATAATTTTTGTATTCTTTTGGATTATTGTTTAGGCTTGCTTAGGTGTGTACAGTGGTGGGGTTTGGAAAACATATCACTCAATCAAATGAATTTTTCATCTTTTATTGGACTCTATCTAAACAGTTGAATTTTTTTTATTGAACTTGATTGAGTTTGATAAATTGAGTGAAAAAAATTTAAGTTTTTTTAATTAAAATCTGTAATATGTAACATTTCTATATACTTTTTAGAATTTGTTTTTCAAAAAATAAACCATATTATTTAATATTTAAATAACTAAAATTATTTTAATTGATAGAACAATAAATTAAATTGAATAACAATTTTAATATAAATATTAATATTATTAAATAATTTTTTATTCGGGTTAAGTTAGGTCGAAAGATGAACCTATAAAATCTGTTAGTCAACCCATAAGAAAGTGAGTTGGTTGTATTTGGACTAACTGCAAAAAAGAACTTAATTCAATAATACGAAAATTTAACCAAATCTATTTTTATTGGATTATTTTCAATTTAATTGTAGAGTAGATATTCGGTAAAAACCTCCAAACCTGCAAATTCGTCCATAAATTTACAAGTGTAAAAAAAAAAATATTTCACGAGCTAAAATTATCCGCATAAAATGTCGACTTCTTAAATCAGACCTTAAACGGAGCAAACACTCACTCATCCTTAGTCGCAATCACGAATTTCCTGTTCTTTTGAGTGGATTTGAGAGGATTTGAAGATAAAATTTTTTGTCGTTTATTTGAGTGAATTTGAAGGTAAATGAGAATGAATCTAAAAATAAAATTTGTGAGAATTAGTATAGAATTGTATTGACATGACAAATTAAAAAAAATTATTTAAAAATTCAATCTCATTTACCTCCAAATACACTCAAATAAACGACAAAAAAATTTATCTTCAAATCCTCTCAAATCCCCTCAAATCCACTCTCTCAAATTCACTCAAAAGAACAAGGCCTTAATAATATTTTGTTTTTTTAACTTTAATCATTCAAATATGAACTCTATTTATAATTTATTACGAAAAGTTAACATTCTCACGACACTCTTTGTATATTTTACTTATTAAAAATAATAATTAAATATATTTTTAGTTTTTAAAAATTTAAAATTTGATATTTCTAAATTTTAATATAATTAGATCTTTAAACATTAAAAATAAATAAATATAATTTTTTAAAAATCAATTATCTGAAATTTGTTGATGTATGAAATATTTTATACTAAAATTTAAATTTTTTATACAATTTAACAGGTTACACTTCAAATGCTGAAAATTCATTGAACTCATAAACAAATTTAATGCATTTAAGTCTAGTTGACTATATTTATTCAAACTAAAAAGTTTATTAAAGTTGGAATTTGAAATAGAGACAAATTTCAATTTGGAACGTTTAATTCTTAAAAAAACATATTGTTTAAGCAACGTTAAATCCAACAATTTAATGCATAGTTTATAGTTAAAAAATGAAAATTGGAAGTAAGAAGAAGGTGGTGGAGTTTAGAGGGGAGGCAAAGGTATAGGTGTATCTAAGCTAAATCCTTATCCTGGGTTCCCATCTCCACGCGCTATGAATAAGCCAAAAGATCCATCACATCAGAACCGGGTTTGTCTAATACCTATACAATACGACCGAGAAGGATGTTTGTTACCATATAGACGTCAGCCATCTGTCTGGCTCGACTTCAAGGAAGATATGTCATTGCATACATTGAATTCAACCATCACCCATTCATGTATGTATGTTCTCTTGAGTGCTTTATCAATTAACCAAAACTGTTGAGAGAAACGTGGGTTTACCACGCAGCAGATGGTAGCAATATTCAGGCACTACACAGCCACGCCTAGTCCATTCACTGATGTAATGGGAGTACACTGGCTCGACCTTTGAATTGAAGCAATGCATCATTAAAGCAAATTCGACAGACAAAAAGCAAGTGACTAAAACCACATAGGTTTTTCCATTAACATGTAACGTCACCCTTTTTCGACCACTTCCTTATGATTTCAACAAATATATGCCTATCGTATTTTGCATCTCACAGCTACGTCTGTGCAGTAGCATTTATCAAAAGGAGTTCAAGTAGATTTAACAACGGCAACTCCAGAGTCCGGACAAGTGGATCAAAATAATGTGTTCAAGGGAAAATGGGACAAGGACAAAACAGATTCAAGATAAGTGTGTATATCGTGCTAGTAACTTTTTTTTTTTAACTTTCACACGTTCAAAGGCCTGTGTCCTGTTGTACTCTGTGGCACGATCTCTCTCCAGGTCCCTTTTTATTGATACATGAATCTTATCAGAAGCTAAAAACCATTAATTCAAGCCTTTTGTCACATGTCGTTTTGACAGACATTCGTGTACTACGTCGGTACGTATACTTTTTTGTTGCTTCCTGTGTATCTTATATATTATTTTCACTGTTATAATAATCAGTTAAATATATACCATCTAACGGTAAAGCGCAAAACAAGAGCACATTACTTTTAAAAAATATATTACTTTTGTTTTTTTTCAAAAAGATTTAAAATTTCTATATTAGCTTTTATTAAAAAAAAACAACCGTTTATTGCTAGAGGTTAAAAGTAACAGTCAGTTAATGTAATTGGTGGATGGTGACAACCAGTGGGTATGGTAAAGTATTTTTGTAAGGTTGTAGCGTGGGAAGGAACAGGCCACCCAAGAAGATAATCACAGAATTAATGTGTATGTGTGTGTATATATAGGGCAGCACAGATAAGAAGAGTTTGAATGCATTGAGATAGAAAAGAAACATGTCTGATAATCACAAGACTCAGAGTTCGGCACCGAAACTGTTTGGTTTCCCACTAACAGAGCAAGAGGAATTTGCAGAAAGGAAATACGATGTTGGAGAGGACAGAAAATTCAGGTGCCACTACTGCAACAGAGTTTTCGCAAACTCCCAGGCCTTAGGGGGCCACCAAAACGCTCACAAGAAGGAGCGTCAGAGAGCCAGGCGATTCCAAATCCACAACCACAGACGCTCCTCCATGCCACCACCATCATCATCTCTTTCGGTTACGCCTCTTACCTTTCTCACCCCCCATGCAATAATAAGATCGCTGCCACTTTCAGTTACACTGCCACCCATTTACCTTTCATCTCCTTCTCCTTCTACTTTCACCTCTGCAAAGCACTTCTCCTCACGCCCCGTTTTCGTTCCTTCCTCCACCCATCTCACTGCTACTGCTACTGCTACTCCATGTTTTCCTCTTCAGCTTTATGCTTCACCTTCTGTGCTGCAATCTGCTTCTACTGTCCTTGATTTTGCAGCAGACAGAGAAGTTGATGTCCATCTCAAATTGTAGCTCTGTCATATCAGATTGCAGGTTACATATATACTATATATAAATTACTGTTACTTTTAGTTTCCTGCTTCTCCTTTTTGCTCCAAATCTTATCTTTTTTTGACCTCTCGCATTAACATTATTAACTTGCTTTGCTAATGGAAGCTAATGCTTATAATGGAAGTTACAATTTGTTTTAGTTCACAATGTCATTGCAAATGTAACTTGGTGTTGCATTTGTCTTTAATCTCTCCAAAGCAATAGGAAACATCATGGTAAAACTGTGACTAAATAAATCTCAGCTGAAATCAAAGTGGTGTTGAAGGCAAATTGTGACAAAATATATATATATATATATATATATATAGTATTAATGAATGTTGTAGCCTGCATATTATTTGTTATTTTTGTGAATTAGACTAGTTTTAGAACAAGAATTGGTGTAGTTTTTTTTTCTCTAGAATTGAAATAGTATACTGGGTTAATTCCAAACACCTATTAAGTACTTCTCATCTTTAATATATCTTTCTTTCTCTGATAAAACTCCATTAATTATGTTAATTACATATTTCTCATCTTTTATTATCTCTCCTCAGACAAAGATCTGACTAAATGTCATATTCCATATTTACATGCAATTATTTACGGTACCATATTATAAAAGCAGTTTACGGATTGTGGCCCGGTGTTTATTTGGGCCTAACAGCAAAATATCATTGTATGGGCCATATCAAATAGTTTAAAGGGAGGTCCAAGTACTTCCAAACCTTAATAAAAAAGACAAATATTTCTGCACATATCTGTTCATTGCCACAGATGTGTTGTATTATATAGAAAGGATCCGGAAGTGTTTTACAGAAAAATTTGGTATTATTCACTATTGGTTAGGTCTTTCACGCTGTTGAAGTCATAGAAAATAACACATACCAAACATTAAAATAAGGGAAGTGGCTAGCTAGACACTAGGTTTATCCTGTAAGTATAATCCCCTTGCTGTTCTAAGTTATATCAAGTGTAGCTACGGTAGAATATAATCTACAGTAGCAGTTTTCATCCGAATCATTGCTGTGAAGAGTCTCTTTGAGGCTGTGTTCGTTTGAAGCGATTTAACTGTTCACACAGTTTTGCGAGCGAGGAATTAAGCTCGTTCTGCGTTCGGTTGAAGTGAAATGCGCGGATGGATTTGCGGTGAAATGCGAGATGGTTGCACTGTTCAGTCACCCGCGGTTGTGCTGAGATTTGCGCGGATTGTGAGTGAAATGTCGTCTGTGCCCTCTAATTTAAGCAACGACGAGGTGGTGTAATCGGTTACAGCAGAGTAACTGGTTAGAGAAAAATGACAAGTTTTGACTGACAGACGTAACCGGTTACGCAAATGCGTAACCGGTTACGTAAAACGCGATTACACAAAACGCGTAACCGGTTACGCAAACACGTAACCGGTTACACTCTCTTCCTAAACATAACTTTCTTATATATTATAAAAAACACGTAACTTCCTTAATATTTTCAATCCATGTCCCAATTTACATCAATATCCTAACATATTACTTTTCCTAGTATTTTGATTGTTATTATTATTATTTTTTGTTATTATTATTACTATAATTTATTATTATTATTATTACTTTATTATCATTATAAATATTATTATTACTATAATTTGTTACTGTACTATTATTATTATTATTATTATATATATATATATATGTATGCTTTTATTTACCAATTGTAACAACAATTTTGTATTGTATTTATTTTTTATGAGATCATATATTTACATTTTACTCTAATATTTATATATATATATTCCATTTTAATATAATATACAACTCAAAAGTTTAATTGTGAATTTTAATTATAACAATATCGTTTCACTATAAATTATTAATCTCATAATTATTATTTTTATTATTAGTAATGTTATTATTATTATTATTATAATTAGTATAATTATTATTAATAAAGACATTTTTAGTTATATTTTCTTTAATGCGTAACCGGTTACGCGTTTGCGTAACCGGTTACAACCTTATACATTTTTCCAAAGCAAAGTCATTTCCTTTTCCAAACTAATACCTCTTTATTTTATTTTTCAGTTTTTTTATAATTATTTTAATATTATAATTTAAAAAGATCTACATCTTAATAAAATTAGGTATATTATATTATCTAATTTATTAAAAATAAGTTTGATTATTTAGTTTTTATAATTTTTAAATATTTATTTTATAAATTATTCATAATTTTTTTCTTTATAAACATTTTTACAATTAAATATAACATTACAAAATAACATTTTATAATACTTTTATAAGTAAGGGCAATTTGGTAATCTATATTTTCTACCAATTAAACTAATTTTTAAAATCTATCACATCAATCAAATCCTACACTAATTCTCACAAACTTTCCTTCCAAATCCACTCTCAATTAACCTCAAATCCACTCAAAAAAACAACAAAAAAATTACCCTCAAATCCACTCAAATCCAATCAAATCATCTCTCCAAAATCATCTCCCTCAAATACCTTCAAAAGAACACACCCTGAGTGATGATGACTGATCACATCTTTCCTCAAAATAATCATGTCATTGGGATTTGAGGACCACGTCAAATCTGGTGGAGACCTAAAATGACGTCGTATCGTATGCAAAACGAATCATCACACATGGTAACACCACCAAAATGGACAAAGTCATTGGTTTTACTGCAACCCAGGTATCTCACACTATACCACTCCGAAGTGGTCATCTTTTTTCTCTCTCTATATTTGAATAAACCAAAAGAGAGTTTTAGAGAGAGACTTCATTGTTTCTTTAATCACGGAAAGTACGTCCCAGATTCCGAGAGCTAACACAAAGGTCACTTTTCAAAGATCAGAACATTGCTCATTCCTCGCCACGGCACACGTTTCTGTGCTTCATTGTCTCTCTTCCCAATATACCCTTTCACGAAACTTCCAAACCCTATCAAAAGCCCTGCGCTTCCCTCTTCCCGCCGCTGGACATGGAGAGTTACGGGTCGGGTCACCGGAGAATGGAGGTGGTGAGCGGTAAAAGTCACGGTTGGAGTGGAAGTCGATCACAAGATTCTGCTCAGGGGAGTGAAAAACCTTGGAGATTCAGCGACCCAGAAGCAAAGAGGAAGAAAAGGGTAGCAAAGTACAAGGTTTACGGCGTGGAAGGGAAGGTTAAGGCTACGGTCAAAAAAGGACTTCGATGGATCAAGAACAAGTGCTCTCAGATCGCCCATGGCTTCTGATGCAGAAGCTTGTTCCCACGTCAAGCGCTGACGTTGCAGAGTCTGAACATTGAGATTGCATTTCGTGCTTCTCACCATCACATGCAAAGGTTCTTACTTTCAATTTTTCGTTATTCTGAAACCACTCCAAAGTAGAAATCTTTTATTAACTGATAGAGGATATCTAGTTGTTTGTGTGGGTGTCCTGGAATTAGAGCCGTTAGCAAAGATTTTCCTAAACTAAATTTTGAGGTAAAAGTTGTTTGTTCTTTCATTTACTAATGAAAAATATTCAAAAATCTTGTAATGTACGTTGTTCTGCATAGATACCAAAGATATATATGAAACTGAATCGTACTGCCATTTTATTTGTTTGCGGTGGAGAGAGAAACACAGATATTTTTATTATTTCATTGGAAATGAACTAGAGAAAGAGGGAGACAGAAACTGATGAAAAAAAAACTTTTGACGACTTTTTGAGGAGGCGATGATAAGTTCTTACTTACCTAGAATATTCTTATTGTACACTTTTTTGGTCTTTTATTTTGTTATGAGATGATACACGAGGGAGAATGCCTCAAAGAATCTAAGAAAAAGATAGGAATAAAGTTGAGTTGTTATTTTAAGTGATTTAAGTTAAAAAGAAAAAAAGAAATTTAATGGTAAAGTTTATAAAATTTATGAATTATTTGATGGATGAAGTAGATAAAAAAAATATTTTAATAAATAATGTGATACATGACCTATTTATTTTATAATTAAAATTAATAGGAAATGAAATATAATTAATTTAAAATAAAATCTGAATAATTTTATTATAAAAAATAGGTGTTTGTGATTAGTTAAAAATATTCTCAATTAAATATTTAATTATAAAAAGAATTAATACTATTATTAATTATTTTGTAATTATAATTTTTATTAGTATTTTATTTAGATGTTGTATTATTTTCTCTATTAATATTAATTTTAAATATTTTATATTTTATCATTATTATTGTTGTTGTATTTAGAATTAAATGTGTTTTTTATCTTTAACATTTAGCGAAAATGGAAATTAATCTAATTCTAAATATTAAGTTTATTTAACATTTTCAAAGCATTCATGAAAATTGAAATTATTTCCCTTCAAAACTTTAGTCCAATTTAGTCTTTTAACTTTAGTCTTTTTAATCAAAATATATTAACTTTATTTGTCATTTTAAACACATTTTATCGTAACATTCGAGTTATTTACACTATTTGACATATTTATACTTTAATGCTAGCTAACAAAAATGCATTTGAAACCCAACTAAACTTAATAAAATTTTGTTAAAACAATTCAATCTATATATTTTCAAAATTGAATGACTAAATTGATCTAAAATTTCAAAAGTAAATTAATTCTAATTTTCTTAAGAACTAAAAACTAAGAATAATTTTGTAGTTACATTTTTCATCCCCTCCACTCACCTCATAGAGAAATAGAATTTCTCATCTATCCCTCTAAAATACTCACAAATCCCTTTAAGGGAACAAACATGTCATTCTCATTTATTACCTTACAAATGATAAATATTGTGCTCATTTCGAGTGATGTAGTGTAATTGTACTATATGAAATATATCGATTTGAGTTAATGATCATTTATGAACAGTTAACCGATATAATTATTAGGTTTGATTGTTTAAAAATATACTGCGTTGGTTAATCAATATGTTTACACAAACCTTACAAATATACTATTTTGATAACCTTGATCTATCCTAATAAAATAAAGACTTTTTAAAAAAATATATAACCTAAACATCACTGAAAGTTAGTAATCCATCGAAATAGATTGTATTTTCAAAGAGGATCGAACAATTCAATGAATACGAAACAATCAA